TCCCACCCCCACCTCCACCAAGAGAGGCTCCATACCAGATGTTGACGAATGAAGGGTATGCAAGTACTATAGTCCCTCCCCGTATTAGGGATGGCAACTTTCAAATAACCAACGTGATGCTCACTTTGCTCGAGCAACGAGGGTTTTTCACCGGTGGACTGGGTCAAAATGCATACAAACACTTGAAGGGGTTCGTAGATACTTGTTGGGGGGAGTAAACAAACTAATGTCTCCGAAGATGCTTTGAGGCTAAGGCTTTTTCCCTTCTCTCTATGGGGGAAAGCTTTAGATTGGTTGGAATATTTGCCAAATCATTCCATTCATACTTGAGATGAACTAGCGGAGAAATTTATTTCAAAGTACTTCTCTTCTGGGCACATGGCTATTCTTCGGGATGAAATTCTAGCATTCAAGCAAGAGCCCAGTGAACCACTATATGAGATATGGGAAAAATATAGAACAATGGTGAAAGAGTGTCCCAACAGCGATATGACGGAGAACATGATTCAACAAACTTTCTATCGGAGGATCAATACAACCAACCAATGTGTAGTGAATTAACTTGCTGGTGGGAACTTCATGACTACGCCTTATGCGGAGGCATGTGATATTTTGGATGAGATAGTGGATACTTCATCGACATGAAAATCCCGAGCTAATGTTCCACAGGGTGATCCCAATGTGATTCACCTTCACAAAGAATTACATGACCATGGGTAAGCCATACCCGAGGACCACCATGAACCAATTGGCAAAGGCTTGACTTCAACAAGTGCAAAATCCGAGGCAAGTCAATGCAATGAAAGGAGTAAGTATGATGGTGAACAAACGGAGAACAAAGAATCCGTAAGTACAACAAAGAGTAGAAAATTTTGTGCAAGAAGATAGTGGGTTTGAGCAAGAGGATTCCTACAATGACCAAGAAGAAGAGGTCCAATATGTGAACAACTTTCAAGGGCAAAGAAACAACTTCCGAGGCCCAAGCCAACAACAATGGAGACCTCAAAACAATCAAGGAAATTGGAATTCTCACAATCAAGATAATTGGAGTGGTGGAAACAATCAAAGCAATTGGAATAACGACAACAATCAAGGCAATTGGAGTGGAGGAAATAATCAAAGGAATTGGCATAACAACAATAACCAAGGCAATTGGGGAGGCAACAATCAAGGCGGGTGGAATAAAAATCAAGGAAATTGGGGGTCGGGTTTTCAAAGGCCCCCAATGTATCAACAACCGGGCAACCCACCTCCTTATTCTTCCCATGGTCCTAGTTATTCTAACAATGAAATGGGCCATATTAAGAATATGTTTAAGCAAATGATGGAGAAGAATATTGATTCTGATGCCCAACTTGCTTCACACAACACATCGATCCGCAACTTAGAAGTGCAAATGGGGCAAATCTCAATCTTTAAATTCTTGTCCTAAGGGGGCACTACCAAGTGACACGGTGGTGAACCCAAAGGGTGGAAACAACATGGGATATGCCATGGTCGTTACTATAAGAAGTAGAAGATAAGGGAATGCACCCACCTCAAGTCAAAGGCAACTTGTGGATGATGAACAAGTGGTAGAAGAAGAAGAGATCCTAAACAATATGGTGCAATCAATTGATGAAGTGCGGATTGATATTGATGGCAATATGGGAGAGACTCAAGAGGAAGTGAACCCGTCTAGGGGTCATGTTATTGACATACTGGAACCGGTAGCACCATTGCCTAAGACTCCTCCTCCATATCCTCAAAGGCTCGCCAAGCAAAATGGCGAAAATCAATTCAAAAAGTTCATTGACATGATGAAGAGTCTCTCAATAAATGTGCCATTAGTTGAAGCCTTGGAGCAAATGTCCGGTTATGAAAAGTTTATGAAGGATTTGGTGACAAAGAAGCGATCGATGAAATTTGAAACTATCAAAGTCACTCATCAAGTGAGTGCAATTGTGCATTCGATGGCTCCTAAATTAGAAGATCTCGGTGCTTTCACAATCCTTTTTACCATTGGAAGTGCCGAGTTTGATAAAGTTATTTATGATCTTGGGGTGAGTATCAATTTGATGCCTTATTGAGTTTTCAAGACTTTGGGGATTGGGAAACCAAGACCCACATCTATGAGATTACAAATGACTGATCGTACAATGAAGAAACCGTTAGGAGTGATTAAAGATGTATTGGTTCATGTTGATAAGTTCATTCATCCGGCGAATTTTGTTATTCTTGATTGTGAAGTGGACTATCAGGTGCCGTTTATTTTTGGAATACCTTTCCTTGCTACGGGGAAGGCTCTTGTTGATGTGGAAGCTAGAGAACTCACTTTTTGGGTGGGTGATGAAAAGGTGGTGTTCCACATGTGCAAATCTATGCGGCAACCAAATAGCAATAAAGTGTGTTCTTTCGTGGACTTGGTGACCGATATGATTATTGATGATACAAGTGCCATGATTAATGTGGATGATATGTTGGAGGATGTCTTGCTCAACTTTGATGATGACGAGATGGATGGCTTTATGGAATATGTGAATTCTTTACAAGGAATGGGGTCGTACAACTATGCGCCCCAGAAACTTTCCTTGGATCTTGAAAATAGGAAAACTCCTCCTATAAAGCCTTCAATTGAAGAGCCTTCTACCTTGGAGTTGAAGCCATTACCTTCACATCTTCGGTATGAATTTCTTGGTCCTTGTTCTACTTTACCGGTTATTATTTCCTCTTGTTTGACTAACGTGCAAGTTGACTCTACATTGGCGGTGCTCCACAAGAGGAAGAAGGCTATTGGGTGGACTTTGGTGGATATTCGAGGAATAAGCCCCGCATTTTGCATGCACAAGATTAAATTGGAGGAGGATTCCAACCCATATATTGAACATTAAAGGAGACTCGATGAAGCTATGCAAGACGTGGTCAAAAAGGAAATTATCAAGTGATTGGATGTCGGGGTTGTCTACCCCATTTCCGATAGTTTGTGGACTTCTTCGATGTAATGTGTCCCAAAGAAGGGGGCATGATGGTGGTCACCAATGACAAGAATGAGTTGATTCCCATAAGAACGGTGACCACGTGGAGAGTGTGTATGGACTATCGTAAGCTAAAAAAGTCACGAGGAAGGATCATTTTCCACTTCACTTCCTTGACCAAATGCTTGATAGGTTGGCCAGTCGTGCTTTCTATTACTTTCTAGATGGATATTCGGGCTACAACTAAATCCTTATTGCTCTATAAGATCAAGAGAAAACAACTTTTACATGTCCCTACGACACTTTCGCTTTCAAGAGGATGTCGTTTGGCTTATGTAATGCACCGGTGGCCTTTCAAAGGTGTATGATGGCGATCTTTATGGATATGGTCGAGGACTACCTTGACGTGTTCATGGATGATTTCTCGGTGGTCGGGGATTCCTTTGATGATTGCTTGGCACATATAGAAAAAGTGTTGTCAAGGTGTGAAGAAACGAACTTGGTGCTAAATTGGGAGAAATATCATTTCATTATCGGGGAAGGCATTGTCCTTGGCCACAAAATTTCAAAGAATGGCATAGAGGTTGACAAGGCAAAGATTGAGGTAATTTATAAACTTCCACATCAAACTTCGATGAAAGGCGTGTAAAGTTTCTTAGGTCACGCGGGGTTCTACCGGCGTTTCATGAAGTATTTTTCTAAAGTGGTGAACCCATTGTGCAAGCTCTTAAAGAAAGATGCTAAATTTCACTTCAATGATGAGTGCATGAGAGCCTTTGAATTTCTAAAGTTCAAGTTGACAACCACTCCCATTATCACCGCTCCTAATTGTAGTATCCCTTTTGAGCCCATGTACGATGCTAGTGATATAGCAATTGGAGCAGTTTTGGGGCAATACATCAACA